GCCGAAGTCACAATGTTGTATAATCATTTCACTCCAATAACTCATTTGAAAATGTTGAAAATATATTTTAGAAAAGTAAAATATATAAATATGTATTTTTATATTTATATCAAAAATATTTTTACTTTAATATATTTGTGTGTATATATATATATATATATATAAATTGAGATTTTCAATGATTTATCATGCGGCCTTATTATGACTAATAAAAGCAATAAAAATCCCAGTACATGAGCTGTCTGTGTTCCTCAGGTGTATGACATGATGTTGCGGGATGAGAGGTTTTACCCGTCGTTTAAGCAGCACCCGCTGTATGTGCGGATGCTGGCCGAGCTGGACATGCTGAAAGAGCCCAGTTACAGGGGTTCAGACGACGGGGACGGAGGTGATAAACTCACACGCAACCTGATCTGTCATCAGTCAGTCTCTTTACACACCACCTCCTAAAATTCATTAATAATTCTCTGTTTCTCCAGAGTCATTCAACGGGTCTCCAACAGGAAGCATTAATTTAGTATGTCAAATAAAGCCGTTCATATGTAATATTTACATACATCATGCGTGTTTAAGTGTGTTAGCTTGTTTCTAATGCTTGTGTTTTGTAGTCATTAGATGATCTCAGCAGTGGGAGCGTGGATGAGTCTGTTCAGCTTCATGCCTTTATCTCTGATACGGGTGAGAGTTTGACCTGCTATTAACCATTTTAATAGTGTAATAATACCGTACCGTTTCAAAAGTTCAGCTCTGTGTCCTAAAGAGGCACTGAGTGATTTCTGTCCTCAATGAAAGTGACCATCAAAATGTCTTGTTGCTTATCAAAAACTTTTTATTTTATTGCACTTGGTTACAACATGATGTAACAATCTGCAGAGGTGAATCTAGCAAATTATGTCTGGGTCATATTTTACCCTTATAGCAAAAGAAAACAATAATATTATAAAACGGATAGTTCCGGTCCTTGATTCTGATTGGTTGAGCTGCGTTCGAAGCTGTTGTAAATTACTCTACAAACATACACCTTTGTTTACTTCTGTGTTGCTCAGCAACCACTTTGTTGGAACCACAACTGTTTCTGAGGAACTACATTGTTTGGTGGAAGAATACTGTTTTTATTAATATCATTACACTTTATTTGCTCTGTTTTATTTTGGAAACCTTACTACGTATATGGAATAACCGTTTTATAAAAGCAATAAGCCCCGTAAAGCCTTGGTTTACAGTGAATTTATAACAGCTAAGGGGGTTTTAGTTTAAGACACTCCGCTTTGTGTCGTGTCTAACAACGTCCCTTAGCTGTTATAAATTCACTGTAAACCACGGCTTATTGCTTTCATTTAATTGTGTTATAAATGACTTAAAACATGTTTTTGTATAATGGTAGTATTTGTTGTGCTTCCTTTAATTTATGCTGATTTTGTGTTGAATTATTTTATTTTATTTATTTAGTAATTTATTAGACGCTTTTATCCAAAGCGACTTACAAATGAGGACAACAGAAGCAATCAATTGTAGTATTAAAACAACTAAAAACAGATCCAAAACTAAAAGCTAAAACTTTATAAACACTACCTATACACATTTTAAAAATAAAGAGATTAAATAAAAATGACAAATGCATACAACAAAATTTCAAAACTTAACATTTAAATGAAAAACAAAAAATAAAGCTAAAAACAATTCAAAATATTAAAGAACAAAAGGTATAAGACTAAGAGTATAATAATGATTCTAACATAACACTAAGCCAAACACCTATATGTGTAGCTGTATTACATTAATAATAATCACTATTAAGAATAATAATTAAATAATGAACATCATGTCACAAACATCTTAAAGGTCCCCTGAAGTGCCTTGAAACATGCAGCATTATTCTATGTGGTGACGTAAATTCAACTGAAACAGGAAGACAGGGCGGGACATATCGATCAGCCCCGCCCCCCTTTTAAATTAGCCAATAGCGTTTTGTTTATATCTGCTTGGGTCAGAGCCGTTGAGCTCGGTAAAGCTACACTACATGCCATTCACTGTACAGGAAATACTACACTGTGAACAAGCGACCGATCTCAGCCGCGGCTTCAGCGTCTATTTATAGTGCAGGGGGCGGGTGCTTCGGCTTCTAGAGAGCCTTTGATTGGTCAGAAGATTTGATGAGAAGATGAAGTACGATGTGACGTCAAAAAAAATCATTGAGCTGTTTTGGCAGAAGTGACAAACTGCAAGCTTTGAATGCTTATATCTTCTAAATGCGAATTTTGTCACTGTTTTGGAGCGCACTGCCTTATAGATAACCTTAAGACTAACATATTGATACTAACACCCAAAAAACTTTAATTTTGATTTCATGGGGACTTTAAAGGGATAGTTCACACAAAAATGAAAATTCTGTCATCATTTATTATCATTTATTGACTTCCATAGTATGGAACAAAATTCTATGAAAGTCAGTGGCTACCTGCAAGTTTTTGGTTTCACACATTCTTCAAAATATCTTATTTTGTGTTCAGCAGAAGAAAGAAATTAAAGAAATAAGTAAATGTTTTTGTAAATGTTTGGGTGAACTGTCCCTTTAAAGGTCCTAAAATAAGCATAATTTTTGATTTTGAGGTGAAATATGACCTCAACCTGTTTTCACCCACAGATGTTCTTCGAGTTGGTCTCTAAAAAGGCCCTGATTTCTATTGAATTCAGTTCGATTCTTTTAAATGTTGAGCTGTTGAATTGGATGTTAGTAATGACTCGTGTAGATGGTAATAATCTGTGATTTCAGAGATTTTCAGTGTGTGTGCTGGTGATCTTTCCTCTCTAGTCATCACTTCTTCTCATTTTCAAGCTTCATTTATTTGAAGGAGCAACACTTTTCCTGCCACTGTGTGTTGATTCTTATTCTGTGACACTGTCATTCCATCAGCTTTATTTCTTTATTTTCTTACGTTCATCTTTTTTTCCTCTCTCCCTCTGTCGCTTTGTCTTGTCGTCCTCTCGCTGCTGTGTCTTTCTTGTTCTCTTTTTCCCCTGCACCATCATTTCCATCACCCCTGCCTCTCTCTCCTGGTGCTCTGTAGCTGATGCTTTTCTAAACCAACTTCCTGTGGCAGGCGCGTGTAACGATCACGGGAAGACGTACGCCCTCTATACCCTCACCATCGTACGCAAGACCTCCGACGGCAGCGAGTACATCTGGAAGACGTACCGCCGCTACAGCGATTTCCACGACTTCCACATGCGCATCACAGAGCAGGTGAGACAGATGTACCCTTTAATGAGCGTCACACGTCACCTATCAGAGTAGTTTGTTGTACTGCCTTTAAGTTATGCAGATTTTATATTATATTACTAGATAATAGGGGGGAAAAAAATCAGCAAAACTTAAAGGCAGTACAACTTAAATCAACATGGTAGAAATGTGGTTAATTGCTTGAGTCTATTGCATTTTTGTTTTATTGGCCTGTCTTTGTGTCTTTATTATGATGCATCGTTGTTTAACGCATTTTACCATGTTTAAAACACAAAAATGTGAAAAAGGACTGGATTGAAAGTTAATTGTCAAGAATATATATATCATATAATATATATATTTTTTTTTTCTTTTACTATAGTAAAATAAATATAATTGAAATCTGCAAAACTTAAAAGCAGTACAACAATCTACCCTGATATATAAATTCTTGACAATTTGTAATTTTATTCTTAAATTTACGTCACAATGATGAATAGTCATAATTTCAACCCAACTCTCATAAAAAAAAAATGTAAGTAAGTAAAATTTTAAGTAAAACATCTAAATAAATATGTATATAGCAAAATATTTAAATTATATATATTTTTAAATATAATAAAATATTTTTTAAATATACGTTTTTACTTAAAATATATGTGTGTGTATATATATATAGGTTTTGTATGAGTTTTTTTTTTATATAATGGTGATGAGAATTTAAATTATTTAAATTTTTAATTATTATTATAATAAAATTATTATTTGTATTATTATTATTATTATTATTATTATTATTATTATTATCATGGGTGTTCTTGCTGTAAAGGCATTTACAGCTATTTGAATTTAAACATATCCCAAAATATATATAGATGTGGCATGTATTGGTTTTATAAAAATGTCATTTTAATCCAGACCTTTATCTGTGCTGATTGTAATTAAGAATTTTAAACCTGGTAAAATGTGTTAAACAGCGATGTGGACTGCACCCATGTTGGTAGCTGAAATCATCATTAATTAGTCACAATAGTTAACATTTTTATTAAGCAAACATTAAAAGAAACATGTTGAAATCTGTGAATGACTGGCGTTTAAATTCTGTAGAGTTTTGTGAACACAGAGTCCACGTTAGTCTGGATTTTTGTGTTGAACACAGTCTGATCTAATGGGGTTTGATAGATGTGACGTTTACTAACCCATGTGTCCCGTGTCTTTAGTTTGAGAGCCTTGGTCCGATTCTCAAGCTTCCTGGCAAAAAGACCTTTAACAACATGGACAGGGAGTTTTTGGAGAAGAGGAAGAAGGACCTGAACGCTTATTTGCAGGTGGGTCAGACGAGGACGGGTGTTTATTTTGGGTTCTGCTGGCTCAGGTGTGCTGAGAGCTGAATGTGTCTTACAGCTGCTGCTGAATCCTGAGATGGTGAAGGCCTGTCCCATGCTGATCCCCTACGTCTATGACTTCTTGGAGAACAAAGCCTACAGCAAGGGCAAAGGAGACTTCGCACGCAAGGTGAGAAACGCCACATACAGATAAGTTTCAAACGATCAGTGTTTGATGTCCAGCAGGGTGGGAGATTTAGCTTATAAAGTTATATCTTTATATGAAAAATTATCTAGGCATTCACACCAGATTTGCACTAAATAACTTTATGCATTTTTATTTATATGCTCAAACATAAGAAAAAAAATCAATACACTACTGTTCAAAAGTGAGATTAATGTTTAATGTTTTTAAAAGAAGGCTCTTCTGCTCACCAAGGCTGCATTTTATTTTTATTATTATTTATTTTTGGGTTTATTTTGATAGGACAGTGTTTAGACAGGAAGTGAAGTGGGAGAGAGAGGGGGGGGGTGAGCAGTTGTGCTGCCGAATATTTTTGTGGAAACCGTGATACTTTTTATTTTTCAGGATACTTTGATGAATAGAAAGTTCAATACTTTTTTCTCAGGATTCTTTGATGAAAGTTCAAAAGAACAGCATTTATTTGAAATATAAATATTTTATAACATTATAAATGTTTTTACTGTCACTTTTGATCAATTTAATGCTTCCTTGATGAATAAAAGTATTAATTTATTTAAAAAAATAATAATAATTATATTGACCCCAAACTTTTGAAACCGTAGTGTATATTTTTGCAAAAAAAATGGTTTAATGATATAAAATGAAACATGCAGACTTGAGTACACATATTTTCAGTGATAATGCAAACTAATCATTAAACCGATGCACTGAATCAAAAAACACTAATAAAATGATATGATTAACCCATAGATGCAATCTTAATATTCTCATCATTCTTTTGATAGACGCATGGATAGATAGAGAGAGCGACAGACTGAAGGGGCGTTCACACAAACAGCGATTTGCAGCGGCGAAGTTAGCGAAAGTCATTCATTTTCAATGAGAGTTGGTGAATCGGGACAACCTGAGGAATAGTAGAAAGCTGAGCTGGTTTAATGTTAATTAGCAGCGGTAAAGACACAATCTGAATGCTGCAGTTCAGTAGGAACAGTGATGAAATCGCTCGCACCTCCATGCATTACTCCAGAGGGGAGCGGCCTAGAGTTGTTGTCTGCTTGGATTCGCCGGTTTTTGTAAACTTGTCCTGTTCTCTGGACTCGGACAGATGGACACGTTTGTGAATCCTCTCCGGAGCTCCATGCGGAACGTGTCCAATGCCGTGAAGTCACTGCCGGACAGCCTGGCCGAGGGAGTGTCCAAAGTCTCGGCGGACATGGGCCGCATGTCCGAGAAACTTGGCCAGGATATTAAACAGTCCATATTTAAGGTAGAGCACGTCTGGAGAATCTCAGAACACAGCGGGAAATGCGCAAAAGACCAGAGACCTCACGAACTGGACACTTTTCATGATGGTTGCTTGTGTTGACTGTCTTTGTGTAACTGGGAACTTTGTCTGTGCCGTTTCTCAATCATTTCATATGCATAGCTGAGCGGGCATGTAGGAAGTGTTTGCGCTCGACTGGCGTGATTTTATGAGGGTTTGTCACTAACTCCAGATGTGTCTGATCCACAGGTGCCTCCTTTAATTGCAAAGTCTGACATCGATCCCGAACACTGCCGCGTCTCGGCCCAGCTGGACGACAATGTGAGTCAACATCAAATCAAAAACTTGGCCAAATCACTCTAACACTCTAAATATGTGTAAGGCACCGATAAATAATGACATTTATTTTAATAATTGTAATAAGCAAATCTAGTACAAGCTGTGTGGTACAAGACATCCATAAATATTGGTGTTATATTTTTTTCCCGCAAATTATTATTATTTAGTAATGTATTAATATATTAATATATTTCTTTATTGTTTTTATTTACTTACAACAACTTAATAATAATTATTATTATTATTAAATACTCTATTTTACAGTACAATAGTATTATTACCATAATATTGTATGTCTTTATTGATTTTTATTTTTTATAATTGAATAAAATAATAATAATTTTATTATGAAATAGTATTTAGATTTTACAGTATATTCACAGACATCACTGGAAAGTTTGTAGTTCAGTGGGGTATGTCAAAAGCAAGTAAGTAAAACAATGCACAAGTTACTAAAGTTATTTGACGGTAAGGAGAGCGAGAGAGAGAGAAGCGAGCGAGAGAGAGTCTGAGAGCACGGACTTCTGTTGCATGATCTTGATTGCATCCATAGTAATGCTGTATATTAATATAGCAATATTTATTTATTGTTTTTTTATTTGTCTAACTTAATAAAAAATATATTTATTATTATTATTAAGTACTCTATTTTACAGTATAGTATTGTTATTACCATAATATTGTGTTTCTTCATTGATTTTTAATTTTTATAATTTAATAAAATAATAATATTTATTATTATTATTAAATACAACTTGTTTATTTTACAGTACAATAGTATTTTTACCAAAGCAATTTATTTCGTTATTGATTGATTTTTATAATTTAATACGTTTACTCTATTTATTTAATATTTATTATAATAGCAACATTACCATTAGGGATGCACCGATACTGGTATCGGGCCCGATACTGCGCTCCTGTACTCGTACTCGTAAAAATGCGATTTTAGGGATGCACCGATACCGATACTGGTATCGGTATGGGCCCGATACTGCGCTCCTGTACTCGTACTCGTAAAAATGCCCCGATACCAAAAGCTGATACCAAACAGTAGAATGGAGTTATTAGAGATTAAGGATGTCTATAGGCCAATTCACACTGCCCCAACAGACACCAACAATGAAAATACAGGTATCGTATCGGCGAGTACCAAAAATTAAAGTATCGGTATCGGACTCGTTCTGAAAAAAGTGGTATCGGTGCATCCCTAATTACCATAGTAATTTATTTTTAGTTGATTTTAAATTTTATAATTTAATAAAATAATATGTATTATTATTTATTATTTTCATCATTGTTATTATCATTATTATTAAATACAGATTTTTTTATTTTACAGTACAATAGTATTTTACCATAGTAATGTATCTCTTTATTGATTTTTATTTTGTGTAATTGAATAAAATAATAATAATATTTGTTTAATAACAAATAATTTATTTAAAATAATTTATCTAATTAGTTTGCATCCCCGATAAATTTTTCCATGGCTTGGAACGAGATTTGAATGAGATTGTAGAGTTGAAGCTGTCAGTTTAATGAATGTTGTTTTGATGTACAGGTGGATGATAATATTCCACTGAGGGTGATGTTGCTGTTGATGGACGAGGAATTGAATAAAATAATAATAATATTTGTTTAATAACAAATAATTTATTTAAAATAATTTATCTAATTAGTTTGCATCCCCGATAAATTTTTCCATGGCTTGGAACGAGATTTGAATGAGATTGTAGAGTTGAAGCTGTCAGTTTAATGAATGTTGTTTTGATGTACAGGTGGATGATAATATTCCACTGAGGGTGATGTTGCTGTTGATGGACGAGGTGTTTGATCTGAAGGAGAGAAATCAGTGGCTGCGCAGAAACATCAAAAACCTCCTACAGCAGCTCATCAAAGCCACGTCTGGAGACACCATTAACAGGTGCGACAGACACACGCACATTATGACTTGCATACGGTTGCATTTCTGCTGTCTGTTCAACGGTGAACATTTGTTTTCGCTTCACTGCAGGAAAATCGTAGATCACGTCGACTACATGACCTCGCCTGAGCAAGTGTCTGATTACGTGAAGAGATTCAGGTGATGATTTCACTCACTGTCTGTTTTGACATGTATGTGGTTCTGCTGCTGCTTCTGACTGGGTTTTTGACCCCGCAGAGACTCTTACTGGCCAAACGGGATTCTGGCCGAGACGCCGCCCCGCAGAGACAAAAGCTTACGCATGAGGACACGAGTCGCCGCCAAGACCACACTCCTGGGCACCATGCCAGGTACACACACACACACATTACAGCCTGGATCTTATGACACTGAACATGCAAACATTTATGTGCACTCACAGCATAGACTATAGTGGAAAATCTGCAGTTATTCTGTATTATCATATAATCCAAAATGTTTAATAAACAAATATGCAAGGAGTGGGGGATATTTTGAACTGTGAATAATGTCCATTCTAATTCTGTTCATATATACTGAGCTTTCTGCAAAATTCTACTCTAGTATTCAAAAGCTTGGGGTCGATAACATTTTTAAATGTTTTTGAAAAATCTCTTCTGCTCACCAAGGCTGCATTTATTTGATCAAAAATACAGTAAAAACAATAATATTGTGAAATATTATTACCATTTAAAATAGCTGTTTTCTATGAGAATAGATTGTAAAATGTAATTTATTGTTGTGATCAAAGCTGTATTTTCAGCATCATTACTCCAGTCTTCAGTGTCACATGATCTTCAGAAATCATTCTAATATGCTGATTTGCTGCTCAAGAAACCAGCGCTGAATTTTCAGCATCATTACTCCAGTCTTCAGTGTCACATGATCTTCAGAAATCATTCTAATATGCTGATTTGCTGCTCAAGAAACATTTCTGATTATTATCAATGTTGACAACATGATCCATTATATTTTTCAGGATTCTTTGATTAGAAAGTTCAAAAGAACAGTGTTTATTTGAAATAGAAATGCTGTCATTTTTGATCAGTTTGATGCATCCTTGCTGGATAAAAGTATTATTTATTTATTTTTAAAAAACGATGCAAAGACCCCAAACTTTTGATAGATTGTAAAATGTAATTTATTGTTGTGATCAAAGCTGTATTTTCAGCATCATTACTCCAGTCTTCAGTGTCACATGATCTTCAGAAATCATTCTAATATGCTGATTTGCTGCTCAAGAAACATTTCTGATTATTATCAATGTTGAAAACATGATCCATTATATTTTTCAGGATTCTTTGATTAGAAAGTTCAAAAGAACAGTGTTTATTTGAAATAGAAATCTTTTGTAACCTTAGAAATGCTGTCATTTTTGATCAGTTTGATGCATCCTTGCTGGATAAAAGTATTATTTATTTATTTTAAAAAAACGATGCAAAGACCCCAAACTTTTGAATGGTAGTATAATATATGTATGTTTATATAATAATATATACATATATAGTACCAGGGTTTATTATGGTTAAACAAAACTAAAACCATAAAATAATTTTTGTTACTTGAAATAAACATTAAAAGAAATAAAATAAGATATTTAAATGTAAATATTTTAAATGTATTGCATTTATTTATTTTTAAATGTATTTCATTTCAGCTAGTGATTTTCACTTAGTTTAACTTGATGTACTAAGATAACTATATAGACATAAAAAATTAAATGAAAACAGAAAATATTAATTAAAAACTAATTCGACCATTAATAAAAACTATAATAGTATCTCAGAGATACCAAGATAACACTGTATCGTACGTCCAATTTAATTTGTATACATACAGTGCCTCAGGTAGAGTGATATATATACTGTACAGCAAATCTCCACTGCTTGATTGCTTGTATCGCCCCAAAACTATACAAGCAATATAATAACAAATAATATAACTATATTATTGTCCAGCTCTAATCTGCTAAATGCGACTATAAGGCATAGAGATATTAAGATATTATAAGCATTAACATTATGATTTTGTGTAAAGCTGCTTTGAATCTATTATGAAAAGCACTATTAAATAAATGTTCTCCTCCCATCAGATGAGTTGAAGCACATCATCGGGGCGGAAACCACACGCAAGGGCATCCTACGCGTCTTTGACATGTTCCAGCACCAACCGCTGAACCGCCGGCTGGCCTGCGTCTTTCTGGAGGGCTTCCTGGAGACCTTGTTCCCTCAGTACAAGTTCCCCGAGCTGTTCGTGAAGCTCTACTCGCGCTCGCCGCGCGTGCTCAGATATTCACAGAAATTGCGCAGCTTGCACAAGAGGTGACAGACGGACGCTTCTCCCGCCGACGCAGAGGGGGGCGGGGGACCAGCGGCAAACGCTCAAACACACACCTCCCTCTTAGTGCCTCGTGGCTGTTCTCGCTTCAAGCACTGTATTGACACGGCCGTAGCATAAAGGAGTCATTTTATCATCGTGAAGCCTTCGGCACCTCGCTCACGTCTGAACCACTACGAAAGACTGCAGCGCCCGAGCACTGAGCCATCGCTCTTTCCGTTTGCCGTGCATTTCTGATCTGATGTTTTGAATGACACTGTGTAGATATATACGATTTGTGGGGTTTTTGTATTTGGCATTGGTCGCCTCATCGTCAATACTGTATGGTGAAGGAAATCCGACCGAAGCAACCTATGCACCTTAACACTCATTACAAGCAGAACCATATGATGAGGGTCGGCAGTGATGTATTATGATCATTTTGTGGCACTGAAACTGAAATAGGCGTAACGTTATCCTTCTCAGCCTTTTGCTTACATGTAATACTTGAGCTAATCTAAAATGACTTAAAGGAATAGTTAAGGCAAAAATGAAAATTTGTTGACAATTTACTCACCCTCAGGCTATCCATGATGTAGATGAGTTCGTTTCTTCATCAGATTTGGAGAATTATAGCATTGCATCACTTGCTCAGCAATGGATGCTCTGCAGTGAATGGGTGCCGTCAGAATGAGAGTCCAAACAGCTGATAAAATCATCACAATAATCCACAAGTAATCCACACCACTCCAGTCCATCAGTTAAAGCCAAAAGCTGCATGTTTGAAACAAACATATACATCATTAAGACTTTTTTTTTACTTCAAACCATTGCTTCCGGCTAAAATACAAGTCCATAATGTATAATAACACTTCCTCCATTGAAAAAGTCCATTTCCTGTTGTTTCTCACATCAAAATCCAGCCACATATTTGTTTAGAGCTCATGATTTGTTTTGGATTGTTTTTGTTAAACGGTGCTTGATCTGTGCATATTTCTCTCCTGATTCAGACAAGATGACTTTCACGTTATGAAGCGTTATTATGGATTATGGACTCATATTTTAGCCGGAAACAACGGTTTGAAGTTAAAAACACCTTAATGATGGATTTGTTTCTTACAAACACACAGCTTTTGTCTTCTGAAATCATTAACTGATGGACTGGAGTGGTGTGGATTACTTGTGGATTATTGTGATGTTTTTATCAGCTGTTTGGACTCTTTATCATCGTGAAGCCTTCGGCACCTCGCTCACGTCTGAACCACTACGAAAGACTGCAGCGCCCGAGCACTGAGCCATCGCTCTTTCCGTTTGCCGTGCATTTCTGATCTGATGTTTTGAATGACACTGTGTAGATATATACGATTTGTGGGGTTTTTGTATTTGGCATTGGTCGCCTCATCGTCAATACTGTATGGTGAAGGAAATCCGACCGAAGCAACCTATGCACCTTAACACTCATTACAAGCAGAACCATATGATGAGGGTCGGCAGTGATGTATTATGATCATTTTGTGGCACTGAAACTGAAATAGGCGTAACGTTATCCTTCTCAGCCTTTTGCTTACATGTAATACTTGAGCTAATCTAAAATGACTTAAAGGAATAGTTAAGGCAAAAATGAAAATTTGTTGACAATTTACTCACCCTCAGGCTATCCATGATGTAGATGAGTTCGTTTCTTCATCAGATTTGGAGAATTATAGCATTGCATCACTTGCTCAGCAATGGATGCTCTGCAGTGAATGGGTGCCGTCAGAATGAGAGTCCAAACAGCTGATAAAATCATCACAATAATCCACAAGTAATCCACACCACTCCAGTCCATCAGTTAAAGCCAAAAGCTGCATGTTTGAAACAAACATATACATCAAGACTTTTTTTTTACTTCAAACCATTGCTTCCGGCTAAAATACAAGTCCATAATGTATAATAACACTTCCTCCATTGAAAAAGTCCATTTCCTGTTGTTTCTCACATCAAAATCCAGCCACATATTTGTTTAGAGCTCATGATTTGTTTTGGATTGTTTTTGTTAAACGGTGCTTGATCTGTGCATATTTCTCTCCTGATTCAGACAAGATGACTTTCACGTTATGAAGCGTTATTATGGATTATGGACTCATATTTTAGCCGGAAACAACGGTTTGAAGTTAAAAACACCTTAATGATGGATTTGTTTCTTACAAACACACAGCTTTTGTCTTCTGAAATCATTAACTGATGGACTGGAGTGGTGTGGATTACTTGTGGATTATTGTGATGTTTTTATCAGCTGTTTGGACTCTCATTCTGACGGCACCCATTCACTGCAGAGCATCCATTGCTGAGCGAGTGATGCAATGCTACATTTCACCAAATCTGTGACGATACAAACTCATGGATGGCTTGAGAGTGAGTGCATTTTCAGCAAATTTTCATTTTTAGCTGAACTTTTTCTTTAATAATTATCTAAAGCCGTCAAACATATCAAAGCGGACAGAGATGGTGGAATTCAAGCGTATATTTGCATGACTGTTTGAAACAGCTACATGGAGCTCATCGCATACAGAGATATGCTTTAACGAATGTACGTGTCGATGTTTGTGTGCGTCCTGTTTTTATAACTCAATCCAGTGGAGGGTCTGATGTGGGTTTGTTTTAAACATACTTTATTTTAGAATATCAAGTGTAGCACTAAACTGCGACTGTCTGATGCTGAAGACTGTTTCAGTGTGAGGTATAGATTCAGCCTTAAATACACGACCAAGAGACGCGTTTAGACGTAGCTTTCACACGGATGCGCCCTCATACACACACACGTAAAGAAGATATCGACTGTCCGAATCAGGTTTTCAATCAGAGAATATGTCATTCGTTTTTGTGCAATATGTTTCTTTCATGCATGTTATATAATAATCATATATGGGATAGTTTTCAAGTATATTCGAGTGAAGCCAATCCAAAACCACAGGAAACTCTTCAAAACCACCGAAACATTCCGTTGTTGTAAATGGCTTATTTTAAAGGACTTGTTTTATAAGTCTGGCTTTTATGCTCGTGTTGAACTTGGGGATGTGTTTGTTTTTATTGTTGCGTCGCTCCTGCTGTTTTCTTGATGGATTGTGGTGCATTTTGCTTTTAGGAAACGAGTGAAAGCACATTGTAGGTGAACGGATGATCAAAACATGCAAAGACAAGAAAGACGCTGCCGAGGTCAGCACATAGATCTTAAACACTCTTTCTTACAGTTAAACACTCTCCAGTCATGTTTGATAGATCTACACTTTACGAGAACATGCATGGGTCATATTTCACCCCAAGTTAATTTATTTTTTTTCATTGTGACATGCTTTTTTATGATGATTAAGCACATTTTTGTATCATGTGAAAAATCTCATAAATATATATTACAATTTAAATTGTTCTATAATAAATTATAACATTAAAAATCATTAAAAACCTAATTAAAATTATAATAAATTATAAAAATGTATTTGTTTAATATTTTACATAATGATATTATCATTATTAATGTGTTTTATGTATATTATACATAAAAATAATGTTATTTAAATTATTAACAATACTTAAATACAAATAAATTATTTTTATATTATGTAATAATTAGGTTCTTTGATTTAAGGAATGAGAATTGGGAAGAAATATCATGGGTATAACTTTTCATTTCATTGTCTATGCAAACATAATTGATTTATTTTGATTTTGGAGTGAAATATGACCTATAAATGTTCTTTCCTCTCAGGTTTCACAAGATTCAGCCTTGGGACCTGGTTCAGATCAGCAGAAATTGATGCGAATAGATGAGAACTAATTTAGTGTCTTAATGGAAGTAAAAATAGCACTTGAACTCTTAATTGAAGGGTTTTGAAGATTGTTTGAGTTGCTCTTGTTCGTGGCTGTTTGCTGTGATTGACCAGCAGTTTTACTCGTGATTTACCTGAACGTGGTCTTTCTCTACTGTGATTGGCTGGCACTGAGAAGCTAAAATCTGCTGTGATTGGACGAGTCACACAGGAGCAACTTCCCCTTTAAATCCACCAAATGGTCGACACAGATGTTTCTGATTTGATTTTGTTTTCAGAATCCCCGTACGTATGAATCTATGAACATGAACTGTGCATATTGGTGTATAGTATGTGTCAGCGGTGTGCCTAAATGTACTGTCAATTATATTTTCTTATTTTTCTTTAACAAAGTCAATTTGAATGTCAGGGTCGTTTTAATAGACTGAAAAGGACTCTAAAGGAGTAGAGTGTTTGCATTATGCTTCTAAAACATTGATTTTGAGCAGCTTTACTCAGTATAACACTAATAAAATTAACTCCAACTCGCTGCCCATTTCAGCATTTACTGTCTGTCTGAATGATTGATTGAATGAATGAATGAATGAATACTGTGACAGATTCAAATAAAGCCTGTTTGATCAGGAATTAAGAATGGAAATTTAAATAAATGCAACATTCTTAGCTGTTACTGTACTTATAAAATCAAATCAACATCAAATTAAAATGCACAAGATTGGGGGAAAAACTATAGTAATAAATGTGAATTTTGTGTGTAAATTATTATTTTTTCTCCCTGATTAAGCTAATACTGAAGCAGATAACACCAGGAGTCTGATTATTTTTCTCGCTTATTTTGAAACCGAAAGCAGGACTGTTTGACCAGTTCAGTTTTTTTTTTTTAACTTTCAATCAAAGGCTGTTGAGTTAATGTCACTGAAATACTGAATTTAAAAGCATATGTCTATCCATCCATCCGTCTGTCTATCTGACAGATATCTTCCAAAATAAATTACTTATTAATCATGTTCTTATTCCATCACAGCCACAAAAACTTCTAAGATGTTATTTCTCTGATAAACACTGGGGAGCGCCATACACTTTATACTGTTGCGTCTTAAACTCAAAGAAATCTGCATTCATAAAAAATGACCATGGCATAAAATACATCAGAAATATATCTTCTGATAGTTCATCTTTTGCCATTAGATAGTATAACATTGTATGTATATATACAGTGGGTACGGAAAGTATTCAGACCCCCTTCAATTTTTCACTCTTTGTCATATTGCAGCCATTTGCTAAAATCATTTAAGTTAATTTTTTTTCCTCATTAATGTACACACAGCACCCCATATTGACAGAAAAACACAGAATTGTTGACATTTTTGCAGATTTATTAAAAAAGAAAAACTGAAATATCACATGGTCCTAAGTATTCAGACCCTTTGCTGTGACACTCATATATTTAACTCAGGTGCTGTCCATTTCTTCTGATCATCCTTGAGATGATAACTCTTATTTTGTTCCTGATGTCAATGTGACTGATCACCTGGATTCATTAAACCAAAACATGAAGCAAGAAGGCAGAATGGATAAATCGGGTACGTTTTCAACTGTACTAAAGAAAACACAAGATTTTGAGCTAAAGTTCAATCACAAGATTTATCAGAAGAGGGTCAATTAATTTTTTTTTATACACCCATTTGAAAACAAATGGTGGAAGCCTAAACGTTGAAACACGATATTCAGCATTGAGTGCAGTTACATCATCAACCAAAATAATAAAATATATGTGCATTAT